TGTTCAGTTAAGGGTCATTCAGCCATTGAAAACAGTCCAAAAACTTGTTACTCCAAAATATGGTGGCTAGATTGTTCACTGGTGCTGGCTGTTCTGATTATGCCAGTTCTTTGGCATCTGTGCTGTCTGCCAGTCTCTATCCAGATCTGATTGAAAGTTCTGGTTTCAACCTTTAAAAACCTAAGTAGTATGTGAAGGAGCATCTTCCTCCCCCCATATTTACCTTGTTTCTCTTCCTATGGCTATTTATCTAGTGTCTTTCTGTACGGCTTCCTCCTGATTCTCCCACCAAATTAGGTAAGGAAGGGGGCTGCAGAAGTCCTTTGTGCTGGTGGCACCCTCTCTATGGAATGCCCTCTTCTGAAAAATACAATGGGCACCAATATGCTGATTCTTTTAACACTGGTAAAGAGTTTTTCACTCTCACAGGCATTTTTCCTAGCACAATGAATAACATTTGGGAACAAATTAGAAGGCAGTGCAATTTGTTACTTATATGATCTGTGTAATATATCACTGTTGTTGTATTCATTTTGTATAATGTTGTTTTGTGAAGGCATAATCCTAAAAAGTGTCAGGTATACATCAAAAACCTATCTGGCAGTTAGATTTTGCACTAACAAAGTTAATTCTTAGGTTATTATTGCTGTTAATTCTACTTTGGCTGTTTTATATACTGTCTCTCATTACTGTTAATACTTGTATTCCATATTTTTAATGTCTTTCATACTCTCTAGAGAACCTTTATCTTCTTGAGCCATAGTCCTAGTGTCCGGTATAGTTATAGCTCCAGGAAGCTCTCAATATTATGTTGTTAACAGTTTTGGCAGGCTTCTCAGACAGCTAGTCACTTCTTGGAGAAGCCACTTGAATTTTTGCTTGAAAGATCCTAGAACTGCTATCATTTGCAGTCATTATAATAAACCAGTTACAACATATTACAATACAACACATTACTTCCAAGCACTGGACATTATTGGGTCAAAAGAATACAGATGGCAAAAGCTTTGTGCGTGTTGATGCGTACAGGAAAAACTTCTAGAACACATAGGTGAGTTTTCTACTGTGGCAGTGATGGTGGCTAGGAGAATTCAAGGATTCGCTCTAACTTCCACATTTGTAGAGATACATGTAATGGCTCACCTGGAGTATCTTTACCTAATTTAAGCTTGTGTATCAGCTACATAGTGGCTATAGTTATTCATGTTCTACACAGAGCTGTATTATACTACTGCAATGTGCTTTATGTGAGGCTGCCTCTAAAGATATTTAAAACCATTCAACTGGTATAAAATATGGCCACATAGATACTAATAGGAGCAAAAAGTTTGTGGCACCACATTGCATTGGTTGCTAGCTAGAAATGTTGATTGTCAAGGTAGACTGTCTCAACAGAATGAGCACAGATAAGAAATCATGTTTTCAGCACAAGAGTGAAATACCTACATTTTTGGTCCGGCTTTACACACACATTCTCTTACACACACAAACACACAAACACACACAGAGAGCACAAAACAACAGTGTAATTACTCACAAAGATGCAAAGAACCCACCTAATCCCTCTACTTTTTAACAACTTATGTAACAAGGCATCAATTATCATAATTTAAAAGTTTGCACATTTACAGATGTATAGAGGGACGTGGTGGTGCTGCGGGCTAAACCGCAGAAGCCTGTGCTGCAGGGGCAGGAGGCCAACAGTCGTAAGATCGAATCCAGGCGACGGAGTGAGGTCCTGTCGCTTGTCCCAGCTCCTGCCAACCTAGCAGTTTGAAAGCATGCAAATGCGAGTAGATAAATAGGTACCACCTTAGTGGGAAGGTAACGGCGTTCCTTAGTCACACTGGCCACGTGACAACAGAAACTGTCTTCGGACAAGCGCTGGCTCTACGGCTTGAAAAATGGGATGAACACCGCCCCCCTAGAGTCTGACATGACTGGACTAAAAATGTCAAGGGGAACCTTTACCTTTTACCTTAGAGAATTATGTCTTGCAAAACCCAGCATTATGTCTCAGACAGATGATCACATAAGTCCCTAAAAACGTATATTTTGACTGATATATTTCCTTAGGAGAAAACTGATGATAATGCCTGTTTTTCTCGTGTATTTAAGAATTCAATTTTGTCACAGATGCTGTGTCTATTGTATACTTATTGTACAATCTGTCTAATTCCTCTAAAAGTGATTAATAAGTATTTGAAAGAAAAAAGGGTTAAACAGATAATTAAACTGGCCTTTCTCTCAAAAGCTAAAGAGGTGAATTTTCTTTCTCCCCATTTAAAGTAGGTCCTGTACTCTTTGGGCTTTTTCTCAAGACTAGAAGTTAATGCATACCGAGAACAATATGTAGAGTCCTTTCTTTCTGGAGCATTCACTCTTTATTGAACTATATCCCCTTACATTCATTCACGGGAAGTTAATTAAAATATGAACCATTTAATCATAATATATACTGTACATACAACTGGTATGGTTCAGCATTCAGGAAAATGATGGTTTGTTTTTTGTTTTGGGTCCACCCCCAGTTAATGGTTTTGAGTAAAAAAATTTTCTTTCATATTCATAAGACACATGGGGCAGTGATTGAGGCAGATACCTGATACACAACTAGGACCATCAACTGCTGGATAAGAATGCCCAAGAATGTCAAACCATTTCATTAACACCAGAACAGGTTGTTTCAACTTCTTCATCATTTGGAGAAATTAAAAAAGTAAATAAGGGTATCTTGCAAAGTCTGAAAGTGTTTTATTCAAAACATCTCAGCTGGATGTGCCTCATCAAGTTGATACACATGCAAACCCACAACTGTCTTTGTCCCAGACAGGCACATTACAGGTGCATGAAAGGCCAACATGGTTTAATATGTGAAAAATGCTTGCATGGAGGTTTAGTCATGGCCTGTGTCTGGGACAAACACATCTACATCAAAGGGTATTGCTGTGTGTATGCACACAAAGAATCTAAGAGTACCAAGTCAGATTTGGATGCATCATGACTATAAGGACAAAACTATACAATTACATATGCAGATAGGTATTCACACTTCAATGATTGTGGTGCTTCTTCTAAGAAAAAGCCATTTTTCAGTGAACTAATGACAGGGCACTTCAGTGGGGAAGCGATGAGTGGGATGATTAACCCTTGTCCTACTTTTTTCTTATATGGTTTGGCCTCAGCTATACTGCTGAAAAAACTGCCAGTAGTTGTTTTCTTCAATTAATCCATAAATTGGTTTCAAGTATGTCATTATAACCAGCCTCCAGCCTCATCTTCAACATACAAATAATAACCCCCGAATTTTGCAGGGTTGTTGTAAGAACTACTGACATAATAGCCAAAATCATGTTGCATATATGTCAGCTGAAGGTAAATGGCATAACTCACATAATTAATAAATCTGCATTTCAATTCTTCTTTACACATGAATAACGAAGCACACAACTGGGAATCCTAGCATCAACTCATAAATTAGCAGCAATTTACCACTGTGAGTTATGCCATTTCCCTTCTGCTGGTGTAACTACACAAAAGGACTTATGCCAAGTGCACTGAGTATTTTGATAGCATTATAGTATGTGTGTTAAATATGATAGGCCAGAGACCTATTATTTATGTATATTACCATTAGTTATGAAATTGCCACTTTTGTTACACAACTGGAGTGCAACAAGTGACAATTCACTGCTGAAATGTATGCCATTTGACTGATTAAGACCTATCATTGAAGTTGCTGGTTACATTTCAAGGGCTCTTCCTCTCCCCTCCTCATCTCAAGACTGTTCACGCTTTCTCACAGCCAATATTTACATAACAAAAATCTGCATGTTAATTGCAGTCAGGTTAGCTGTGCTCATGTTAGTTAGGCTTTTGGCCAGATCATTATGAAGACAAAGAGTGCAACTACACTGGAAGACCAAATCAGAGAGATTCGGCTTCGCTGCATTTTCATTTACAGCCTGTGTAATATTTGAAATTGCAGTCAGTGCTCATATGGGGGCTAAAGATTGATTTGAGAGTTCATCGTTCATGCAGTGTGATTCACATTCCAGGCCACAGCCCCTCCTTCCTTCCTCTGGTCCCGCCTCTGCCAATCCTTCCTCTGATCCCACTCTGACAATCTGACAGGAAACTGATGGGGGTGTAAATACCAGAAATAATAATGTGGAGCCAGCAATAAGGTGATAGGGTAATCTAGCACTAATCTCATATACGTAGGGTTTTTTTTTTAAAAAAACATAAAAAATAAAACTTGGAGCAGAGGAAAGAATGTGGGAATGTGGGGATGCGCTCCCTCCAGTACTAAATATCATGTCCCCACTACATACATCACTGAAGCACCACCTATAGACACACCAGAGTGGGGGAAATCCACTTTGGGAGTAAAAAGTGCTGGATCATTTCAAACCAGCTTTTGTTATGCAGTACACTCCTCTCTCTCTCTCTCTCTCTCTCTCTCTGTATTCCTCTGCTCAGAGCAAATCCCACTGTATTTGACCATGTAGTCACAGGCAAACTGTGTACATAAGAGAACCTGGGAAGCAGTTTTCTTCTTATGCCAGGATGTCTGTCATGCAACTGGACTTGTATCGGAAGCAGGGGAGGTTTACATGACTGACATTCCCCTCCAAATGCTCTCAGCAGGATTCTCATCTCTGTGTGTAGAATCTCTATCCGTTAGTATATACAGTATGCACAAAATCTTCATGTGATCCACACAGGGGCTGTCATCATTGGAAACCACCTTGAGTCATACACCATGTGTTGATTTGACTCAGGTTTAGAGCACCTGTGCGGAGCTAAGGTGGAAACCTGTGAGAAATTTCAAAGGAACTTTTTCAATAAGGCTAGTAAAATTTGCAGATGAGTCTTGACATATTTGTGTCTATTGTAATCATGCATAATTAGATATGCTAAAGACATATCTGTATGCTCCCTGATCCTTGCATTTCCTACTGTACACAGACACAAAATGTTGTTTCTTTCTCTTGCAGGCATCCTGACAGGCTTGCAGCCCTTTGCAAAGTATGCTGTAACCCTAACAGCTTGCACTTTGGCTGGCTGTACTGAGAGCTCACATGCTTTGAACATCTCCACTCCACAAGAAGGTAAAGTAATTTCAAAGGTCTTGACTTCCACATTTCAGTCATGAATAATAAAATAGGAGAGGAGCTAAATGCTGCAAAGCCATTTGCTGGAAAACCCCAACCTAATTTGATGACAAAGTGCATTGCCAGACCATAATTGCTCCATTTTTTGGGGGGTGCTAAAATGAATCAAACTCCATACCCTTTAATGACATGCATCTTTAATAGCTGTAATGCAGATTAATGGGCTTTTTAATTGCTGTTACATTGTTCATGCAAGAGCCTTGTCATTAATATGAAGCATCTGAAAGATTAATGAAAGCTTCCTCATTTTACTATGGCTCAGAAGTAAATCTAGAGACAGTCTGACTAAAAAGAATTGATTGTATGGCACAGTATGAAATTGAGAATCAAACGGTTGATTTCCATGGTCTCTTTTAACTGCTAAACACCAGCATGGGCAACAATTATTTCAGCCTGATGGAAGCTCAAAATGCCAATTGGTCCGTTTATTAATCTGTTGTACTTGAAACTTAAAAGTTGCAAGCATAAATTATAGTTTCTGAAGCTGGTATTAAACCACAAGAGCAGCAAGAAAGGGGAAATATGTTCCAGTTCTGCCTCGAGAAAGAAAGGGAGAGAAAGAGAGACCAGTTCAATAACTTCTGTGCATCAATTAGCGAAGAAAGCGTCCTGAAAAGATTGGCAGGATATTTATCTTAAACATAAAAGAAAATAACTTCAGCCAGATTTTAAATTCATGTATGTCTAAATCCACAGCTTTGCTCATGAAACCAGAATTACTTATATTGACGGCAGATTTTTGTACCCCAAGAACAGAGAGGATTCATTCCCTAACATTATTTTCATTGCTAAAAATAAGGCAAATTGTCTTCTAGTTCAAAAGAAGGCCTTTCTATATATTAAGAGAGCCTTTTCTGCGTTGAAGTGAGCCAGCAGCAAATGTTTCCCAGAAACAGTGATGTGGACTTACTATCCAGAGTGATGGTATGTACAACACACTGCCTTTGTGTAGTATCAATTGCCTTGCCATTTGATAAGAGGTGGTAGAATTTCCTCACGTTTGGTTTATTCTACGACCATCATACACCATTACATGTTTTTATCCTCTACAGTTCCCAATAACATTACAGTCTGGATAACTAAAGAATGGGGCGTCACATCTTTCTGCTGAATCTTTGCTTGCCTATGGTTTTAGTGGTCTAATTGAGTTCAAATCTGCAATGCTGGATGAACTGCATCCAAAGATATTGAAGGAACTCTCAGATCCACCGTCCATTATTTTCTTGAAATCCTGGGAAATGGGTGAGGTACCAAATAACTGGAAGAGGTCTAATGTTGCCCTTATCTTCAAAAAGTGCAAAAAGGAAGAATCTGGGAACCACAGAGCAATCAGCTGGACATCAATCCCAGGGAAAATTCTGGAACAGATTATAAAGTCATCACTATGCAAGCACTTAGAAGACAATGCAGTAATAACTAGAAGCCAACATAGATTTGTCAAGAACAAATCCTGCCATATTAACCTGATGTCATTTTTGATTGGGTAATCTCCCAGAAAGAGGGAATGCTGTAGACAGAGTATATCTTGACTTCAGCAAAGCTGTTCACAAAGTGCCCCACGATATTCTGATTAGCAAACTAGCCGGGGCAGACTGGATAGAAGAACTGTCAGGTTGATACACAGTTGGCTACAGAATTGTACTCAGAGAGTAGTGATTAATGGCTCCTTCTCAACCTGGGTACCCGAGGGCTTAGTCATGGGCACAGTACTCTGACCTGGATCAGAGGATGCAGGGAATGCTAATCAAATTTGCAAATGACACAGGATTGGGTAGAATAGATCACACCCTGGAAGACAGAAATAAAGTTCAAAATGATAAAGATAAACTTGAGCACTGGGATGAAAGCAACAAACTGAAATTCAACAGGAATAAGTGTAAAGCACTACACCTAGGAAAAAGAAACCAAACACACAGTTACAAGATGGGAGATACCTGGCTTAGCAATACTATGAGTGAGAAGGATCTTGGAATCATCACAGAGCATCATTTAATTTTTAAATTGTGTGGATTTTAATGTTGTGAGCCGTTTTGTTGGGCGAAATGTGACATCATCATCATCATCATCATCATCATCATAAGAAGAAGAAGAAGAAGAAGAAGAAGAAGAAGAAGAAGAAGAAGATCACAAACTGAATATGAGCCAACAGTGTGAGTCAGCTACAAAAAAGGCAAATGCTATTTTAAAAAAGCAAATGCTGCAGAAATACAGTGGTGCCTTGCCTTACGATTGCCCCGCATTACAATGAATCCACTTTACTATGATCTTTTTGCGATCGCAATTGCGATTGCAAAACGATGGTCTAAATGGGGGAATTTCGCTTTGCAATGATCGGTTCCCTGCTTTGGGAACCAATTCTTCACAAAACGATGATTTTTAAACAGCTGATTGGCGGTTTCAAAATGGCCATTGGGTAACACAGCTCCCCCCTGTGTTTAGGGATGGATTCCTCGCTATACAGGCAGCGAAAATGGCCACTGTATGGAGGATCTTCGCTGGACGGTGAGTTTTAAGCCCATTGGAATGCATTGAAAGGTTTTCAATGCGTTTCAATGGGGGTTTTATTTTCGCTTTATGATGTTTTTGCTTAACAGTGATTTTCCTGGAATGGATTATCACAGTTAAGCGAGGCACCACTGTATAGTCTCCAAATCCCAGGAGGTACAAGTTCCCCTCTATTCAGCACTGGTTAGGTCTCTTCTTTAGTACTGTGTCTAGTTCTGGACACTGCAATTCAAGAAGGATGCTGACAAATTGGAAGTTCAGAGGAGGGCAACAGGGATTATCACGGGGCTGGAAACTAATCCCTGTGAGGAAAGACTGAAAGAACTAGGCATGTTTAGCCTTATGAAAAGAAGACTGAGTAGCAACAGGACGGCACTTTTCAAATATTTGAAAGGCTGTCATAAAGAGGAGGGGTAGGATCTATTCTCATCGATCCCAGAGTGCAGGACTCACAAAAACAGGCTCAAGTTACAGGAAGCTAAATTCGATTTGAACATCAGGAAAAACTTCGTAAGTGTCAGAAAAACATGACAATGGAACCAATTACTTTGAGAGAGGAGTGAGTGCTCCTACACTGGAGGCATTCAAGAGAAATTTAGACAACCGCTTTGCGGATAACCTTTGATTTGTATTCCTGCATTGAGCAGGGACTTGGACTCAATGGCCTTGTAGGCCCTTTCCAACTTCATTATTCTATAATTCTATGACCGTAAAGGGAAAAAAATTACAAAAGAAAAAAGAAAACAAGAAAAATCAGGAACAAAAAGTCTATGACTCAATCAAAATGGAAACAAAACAAGATAAAAGTCACTGGGACTATAGAAATATACTTTCCTCCCACACTTTCTTTATGATGTCCCATAGCTTTCCTAGGATAACAATCTATTTTATTTGGGTAAATGGCCTTCACATTTTAATAGTACAAAGTTCAAAAAGCTTTGCCAAATTTTAACAAACTTAACTATTTTTAGATAGATTTGAAAGGGCTTATTCCTGTGTGGATGGCATGGTGGTAGTTTGTGAAGGAGAGGAAGAATGGAAGGAGAAGTGCCAGCCAGGAGAAAAGAGAATGGGGAGTGGTGTGAGAGAGGAGGAAACGAGGGGGAAGAGAGTGTGGGCATGCACACAAACGTACACAAGCAGTGCCAGTACTCACTTCTCTGCAAAGCATCTGCTCCCCTAAGCTGTCATTTCTTTTTTAAAAACAGCTCCACTCCCCTTAGTCCTGTTTGTTTGTTTGTTTAAAAACTGTCTTGTTGGCAAGATAAAATACAGAAGGGTTTGGTAAGAAAGGTGATTCTTAAGGTGATTCCTTCACTTGCTTCCGATGGAATTGCAAATAGGTGGCTTTTTGCCTTTCTGCTTTCTGGGCACTTTATGTTGAGGCGAACCGAATGGCCCAATGCAACTTCGCAGCAAGAGAAGACAAGTTAATCCACATTTCCCGCAATTTGTAGTCACAGCATAAAAGGATGATTCTAGGATCAGTAGTTGTTACAAAACTTGCTAAATCTGCTGTCATCCTTTAGAGTAGCAATGAAGATATTGGGAAGCAATCATGTTCTGCCTGGATGCTGCCAGCTATTGGTCTTCAGCCTTCCTGTTGTCCTAAGGGCTGAGCACCTGTCACACAAGCTGTGCATCTGATAAATTTACAGTGTCACCTGCTTTCTTCTTCATCTTTTTATGTTCCATATACTGCTTATGAGGTCCATGTAGAAACAATACTATTAAAAGTTGAAGCAGTGCATTCTGGGAAGATGGTGGGTGATACATTTAGAGCAGGATTAGGTCTGTTCTGAGAAAAGTGATCTGTGATTGTTTCGGCAGCACATATACTAGAACTGGAGGAAATTGATCCAGTTTCCTGCTCCCAAATTAATGTGGGCTGCAACATTGTCAAAATTCCCCTTCCAAATCAAAACAGAGAATGTTCTGTTCTATTTTGTTGGGTGTGTGTATTGAGAGAAAATATGATACCCCTGGAGATATCCTGGAGCTAAAAATGCACTTTCTGGACTAGAAGGGGGATGGCTTTAAGAGCTACAGTGGTGCCTCGCAAGACGATGTTAATTCATTCCACGAAAATCGCTGTCTCACGAAAACATAGTCTTGCGAAACGAAAAAGCCCATTGAAATGCATTGAACCCGGTTCAATGTGTTCCAATGGGCTGAAAACTCCCTGTCCAGCGAAGATCCTCCATGGGGCGGCCATTTTCGCTGCCTGTAAAGTGAGGAATCTGTCCCTAAACACAGCAGGGAGCCATTTTAATTACCCGGTGGCCATTTCGAAACCACCGATCAGCTGTTAAAAAACATTGTTTTGCGAAGAATCGGTTTCCGAAGCAGGGAACCAATCATCGCAAAGTGAAAAAACCCTATTAGACCATCATTTTGCGATTGCAAAAGCGATCGCAAAAACATCGTCATGAAGCGGTTTTGTCATTTAACGAGGCAATCATTAAGCGAGACACCACTGTATATCCCAGTAGACCAATGATTCCCAACCTAGGGTAACCCAGGTGTTCTTGGACTGCAATTCCCAGAAACCATGCCAGCACAGCTGATAGTGAAGAGTTCTGGGAATTGCAGTCCAAGAACACTTGGGTTACCCAAGATTAGGAACGACTGCTGCGGACTGTGGAGTTCCAAAAGAACCTGAAGGGTGCACATAGTCTATGGGCTACAGTTTGTCTATTTCTGATTTGAAGACAGGGTTTTAGAGACCTTGTTGCTAACAGTTGGCGCTAACTAGTTACAGACTAACTACTGAGGCTGACTGGAGTTGAGACAAATCTAGGTAAGCCAGATCTGGCATTAGGGTTTCTGACCTTGGGCTCAACATGGTGCATTCAATACCTGGAGCATTTTGTGGAACCACATTGATCTGACTCTCTTCTAGGACAGGAATCACACCTCCCTCCCCCCTGCTCACATTTCAAATGCAAAAAGACCAAGCAGGGGACAGAGGAAAATCCCCTGCAGATAGACTTCTCAAGCTTGTCAGTATGTGCTGCTTAATGTTAATATGAATCTTTCTCACATCCCGCTCATAGCCTTTAGTACGAGCAGCATTACTGCAAAATATATCCTTCAGTATCTCCAGAGATAACTGAAAGTCCCATCCCAAATCTCTAAATCCAGTTAGACTCTCCTAGAGTGTTCCATATGCACTCACTGGTACTTCTCTGCATTGATAAATTAATGCTCTGCCACCATTTGTCAATGGAAATTAGATTATTTGTGGATGCCTTTGGAAAAAAACAAACAAACAGCAAATACATAACTAGGCAACTCTCATATTATTATGTGCTTTGCTTAATAAAACACAATTTGGAAGATTTTTAAAAAATCTATGAAAATAGTTCTCTGTTCAGAAGTCATGTAACAGTCGAAGCAAGCATTCGATTGGCGATTCAGGAAATAATCTCATTTATGCAGATGCACTCTATTGTATATAATGATTTCTTTTCCTTCACAAAAAAATCAAATAAAGCCATGGGGAACATGTGTTTTATCCCTCAGAAGGATTGGACACAAAGTCAATGTAAGCAGTTTCTATTCTGGGATGCTCATGTTGCCTGCATAGTAACAATACATTGATGATACAGAAGATGGACAGCAGTCATACCCTCCAGCTTTCAGCATTTCCCCATTGAACCATTCATCATTTAACATGTACATTCCCAACCAGTATTGGCTGATGCTACACAAAAGGGTTGTGCATGAGCAGACTGCCTGCTCAGATCCATAAGACTGATCCAGAGCTTAGAGCAATAATAGAAGGCAGGAGACAACCTTAGCACTGGTGGAGTTCTTGGCAACAATAATTGAGATGCTTAGCTGGTCTTCCTCAAAACTGGGGAGGCCCTTCTCTCATCCATCAGAGGCCTTCATTACTGTGGCTTGAGATACGTTTTCTACAGAAATGAGTACACATGGAACATAGTAGGATTTTATATCTGCCTGTTGTATTGATTATTTTTGGACACCACCTAGTGGTCTGATCCCACTTAATTGTAGCAGAGTAAAAATATTGCCCAGGTAGTTGTGCAAGAGGTTTGCACGAGCAACTGTGTGCAGGTTTGTAAAAATTGCTGCATAACGTCTTGCATAAACAGTTGCACATCAAACTGATCCTGGATACCACGTTGGTATTCTTAAAATGTACAGTTGTTACTTTAACGGACCTTATCAAAGAACTGGTGGATAGCTCAGTGGTTTAGGTATCTGGCTGAGGAAACAGATATTGGGAGTTCAATTCCCTACTGTGCCTCCTGAACAGCGTCTGGACTCAATGGTCCATATTATCCTTCCAGCTCTACAGTTCTAAGATCATTATTATCATTAGGCTAATGTTGTAAGATTATTGGATACTCACCTATAGCTCAGTGGCTTAGATCTCTGCACACAGAGCTAGAGGTTGGGAGTTCAATTCCCCACTGTGCCTCCTTGAGAGGGGCTGGACTTGATGATCCATAAGGTCCCTTCTGGCTCTGCAGTTCAAAGGTTATTATTAAAAACAGAATAGATATTTCTAAAATATATTTCAATGAAATTTCATTTTATATTCTGAAATGGCTATGGTTTACTTAATACCGTTTAGAGGAATTTTTTAAATTTGTGAAAAGTCTTAAAGCATATGTTATAAGAGACAAATAAATGGGTAAGTAATCTTAAGCATCATGCTTATCAGTCTTAGAACTCATATGACTGTGAGTCTGCATTATCTATTATAATGTGTCCATTTCTTCCCACAGCTCCACAAAATGTCCAACCACCCACAGCTGTTTCATTTCCCAAATCTTTACTACTAAGCTGGTCTCCACCAAAGATACCCAATGGGATTATAACGCGTTATTCTTTATACATGGACACACAACTGATTTACACTGGAAATGAAACCAAGTATATTGTCAAGGGTAAGGTGTGTTGTTATTTTTTAAAAAAACATATACAAGTGACACTGATAAGTTTATACCTAATATTTAACATTTCCGACTCATTACCCTTTCTCCGTATTAGGGATAAGTCCAATTCCTATGTACATTTTTTCAGTATAGGATCAGGGACTCACATCGTAGACATTTTAGAAATCATCCTCATAACGAGATCTAGCATTTCTCCACATGACAAATTGAATGCTAATACAAAGTAAATGGAAGCATGTATATTACGTCATGTATATTAGAAAACAAAGTATAATTAAATAGTGAACACAACATGTGTGAACTAGAGAGGGGAGTATTTGTATTCATACAAATATGAATATCCCTGCGCAGCTGGACTTAATGAGGATCCATCCCTTAGGCCAGACCGTCCACTCCATGTCCAATGGTGGCGGCCTCACCCATCCTTCCAATCACTCTTGGAGTGCCACTTTCTTCCCACTTAGCTAACCACTGTAGGCAGGGGGAGGGAGGATGAGTGTCTCTGCATGGCTGCTGAGCAGGAAGAGAGTGATTGGAAGGATGAGTGAAGGTGTCCCCACCGCTGGACATGTGAGTGGTTGGTCCAGCCCGAGGAGCTGGACCCTCGTTAAGTCCAACTGTGCAAGGATATTCGTATTCATATATGAATACCCCCATCTCTAGTATGAACCAATCAGTAGCATTTTATACCCATATATACATATCTGTATATGTATGTATATTTATATGTGACCTTTCAAATTAGGACATATGCTACTTCTGGGTGTAGTACAGTATGTCCTAATTAGAATGTACACCCACAGGCCAAAATGTAGATTCAGAACATCACAACCCCAACACATTTCCCTCTGAAGTGCAAAAGGTAATTCTGCTTTGTTGTTTGTTATCTGTCTGTCTGTCTATTGTACTTATATATATATATCCATCTAGTGACAAGCCACTACTCTGGGGGCTTCCAACATCTCCAATATTTTAAAAAATGCATCTGAAAAGTGCAAGGCTTCTTTTTCTGTTAAACAAAAGTCTTTTTTGTGTGTGTGTGAGAAAAAATTGGGATGGGAGTTGTGGGATCTGTTGAGGACCACGGATAGGCATGAGCAGCCCCTGGACTTCTGAAATTTGCCCACCTTTGTTCTACCTTGACAGTGTAATCCCGCAAGCACTTAAGCTTGAGTCCATTTATTCCAAATGAGGTTCAACCATTTAAGTAACAATGCTTTGATGTAAGCACTTCCAGTTGGGCTGCAGAGAGAACAATAACATAAAGGGACAGGAAGGGAACTTGATGGACAGGTAGGAAAAAAAGTTAGAACAGAGCAGAGCTGCAATATCTTTTTGCTTGCACTCTGGTTCATTCTTTAGCTTCAAGCAAAAGTTTCACAGTTATTAATTCATATGTCTTTTTCCTGAGGTTTCTGCATTATTTTATTTTTTTAACATTTGCATGGCCATTTGAATACTTATTTTCTCATCAGAATCCACAGAGACTTAATTCATCAAGCATCTTTATGCAGAGTCCCCCACAGGTTCTGAAACATCGAGATAAAATCTCTTTATTGTCACCTAAATGTTCTAGTCACCAGAACATGTTGCAATCCTCCTGGGAGAAAAATCTCAAATATTATCCATTAGTCTGATCATTTTCATGTGAGTTGCAAGCACCCTTGCAGTGATTTAGAAACTCTGCCCACAAGAAACAATTCGGGAGGGGAGGGGAGTGAATTTATTAAAGCAAATCATTTAATGCCTTTTTCACGAAAAAGGAAGAAAATAGTTCTGAACTGGCAAAAAGCATGAAGGAGAAAAAGCAAACGCTTTTCACGTTATTGCACCAGAAGAGTTCCTCAGACTCTGGTTACTCCAGTGCATTCGGGTTCTAACTGTGGTTCTTTGTTTGTGTGTACAAGTACCATTAACGGTTCTAGAATGTACTTCTAAACATGCATATTAGATAAATACATGTCCATTGTATAGGCACATTGAATGGTCAAAGCTCCCTCTGGAAAAAGCTCCATTCTATTTCGAGTAGCAAAGCAAAACAAAAGCAAAATGTGCTGCTTATATACCACTCTAGAGCACTTAAAGCTCTCTCTGGGTGGTTTGCAATTTAAATGTGCAGGCATCACATTTACCCGCTCCCCCCCCCCCAGCGAGCTGGGTACTCAATTTACCAACCTTGGAAGGATGGAAGACAGTCAACCTTGAGCCGGATACCTGAGCCCATTGGGAATAAACTCAGATTGTGAGCAGAATTTCAACTGCAGTATTGCAGTCTAACCACTGCACTATGAGACTCCTTCAGGCTCCTCCTAACATAACACAGGCCTGATGTGCTATGGGTACACAAAAAAGCTTAAATTGCTGAATTTTCATCTGTTGATGAAAATAACAGGCATTTTTACTATACACTCTTACAGACCCCAAAATCTACCAGATCAACCCTCTACTGAGGCAGGAAGTGCACAGTTGAAGCATTCCTGGTGTTTGGCCATCCAACTATTGTTTAAAACCCCTCACAAAGGACTGCCATTTCCTAATATATGCTCAAAGTTCTGTTTGAAGCAATTAAGTCATGTTCTGTTTAATGGGGACTACTCTATGGTAATATGTTTTGGATTGCAGCCTAACTAGATTAAGGGCAGACCTGGTGGTATGTCATCATGGTCCGGAGATTATTCTAACAGGGATTAGGAAATTCCTCTAAAGCCCTTACAGAATATTTGGTTTTGGATCAGGAAATCAGACTGCAGCTCAGGCAACCCTGTTTGGTATGATTGAGATCTCTTATTTTAAAGGGACAAATTGTTTCTTTCAAAAGAGAAAGATATTTCAGGATTTTTACAGCGTCCTTTTGAAGAAGCCAGGTAATAGAACACTTCCTCTCTTTTGGAGGTCAGGGCATTTCTTTTCAAATGTTGTCTATGCTATAAGCAATGCTTTGAAGATTGTTGTGTTATTTTTTTAATTGCAGTTAAAGTATTAATGATTTGCTGTGCTGGTTAAAGGTAAAGGTTCCCCTTGACAATTTGTCCAGTCATGTCTGACTCTAGGCGGCGGTGCTCATCTCCATTTCCAACCCATAGAGCTAGCATTTGTCCGCAGACAATCCTCCGTGGTCACGTGGCCAGCGTGACTAAACACGGAATGCCGTGCTGGTTAGCAAACATTAAAAATAATGGGATGTTTCTGTCTTGGTTCTTTTCCAAAATCTAGGAAGATTTACAGGGAAAACTTCCTGTTTTTCAAAATTGTTAAGTAGTTTTAGAGGAAGCTTTCCCTTTAAACTTTCCTAGCCCTCGGAACAAAATCAAGGCACAAGCATCCCATTGTTTGCTAACTGGCACAGCGAATCAGTGATACTTTGACAGCAATTTAAAAAAAATGTCAAAGCATCACTTGTAACGTTAGCAACAAGCAAAAAAGAAATGTCCTGCCTTCCAAAGGAGAGCTCCGGTGAAGTATTCTTCTGAAAGCTCCAAAACCATTTTGGTGCAATCCCAGTGATCACATAAATTCAGATCCAACCAAAGTGGAGCAATCTTACCTGCATCTTAAAAACAGCAGCCTTGGACACAGAAAGCTGTGAACAGGGACATTCTCAGGGCTGGTTGGTTTGCTCTAGTAAAAACGTCTGATTGCCAGCTTTAGGAGCAAACCAGGTTCTCCCTGAAGCAAACTAAACGGCAGGCTAAAAACCCCAGTAGTCAGCCTCACAGTCTGTTATAACTGTTTGTGGAGCAAATGCAGCTCATGTGTGCTGATACAAAGTACAGCATCTAAAGGTGTGGTGTTTCTCGGTCCCCCCCCCCCCCACACCCCAGTAGTCAGCCTCACAATCTGCGGACAAAGTATCTAAAGGTGTGGTATTTCTCGGTACCCCCCCCCCCTATCCAGAACACCTTGCAATGCATTCAGTTAAAATTTCTTGCCATGCACATCCCAGGAGCTACTAGTGTAGTGGGTCACTTCTGACACTGAAGAATGAGCCCAGTTAGAGAACCCCCTGAAGGCTGTTGATGTATGCTATAATAAATAGTGCACACTTTAAGTCAAACTTTTTCATTCTGTATTCAAAGGTAATGGATTTTCAGTAACCATAGTAACCTTGGTGTATTTCTGGATAAATACATGAGGTATATACATTTTGGTTTTATTTTTGAATATAAACTACCACATTATGTATAGCTAATAATATGAAAAATAGGATATAGGTTCGCATAATGACAGTTTAAACTAGTATGCATTTTTCTTCAGCAAAAAAATAAATAAATATTTATCAAATGTATAGGTGCAATTAATATCCCCCCTCCAGGTTTTTCTATATTCTTGTAGTATCATTTGTCTTCTCTTTTTTTCTCAGGATCTCCATCAATCTTGAGCGTGTCTATATATGTTGTCCTATACCTCTGCTTCTACAAATTTGGAAGCAAAACTGGTTGTAATTTTGTTATTAAATGTATTATTACTAGTAATTGCTACATACCCTTCTCTTTTTAATAGTAATTGTTATAGACCCTGCCTGTTTTTAGTATCTGTATCTGGTATCAGGAAAAGGGTTAAAATTAGGCAATCTATTGAACTATCCTGTTTCCTAGTAGTTTTCTTTTATCTGTACTGGCAGAGTTGCCTTGGTCCATATTCACTTTTTCACCTTTAAATGTTAATTGCTTACTCCATCCTACTCTTCTTATGCATTATATATTTTTAGAGAGGGGGGAATTCATAAAAAGGTAAAGGTAAAGGTTCCCCTTGACAATTTTTTTTGTCCAGTCATGTTCGACTCTAGGGGGCGGTGCTCATCCCCGTTTCCAAAGGGTTAAAATTAGGCAATCTATTGAACTATCCTGTTTCCTAGTACAGTAGTTTTCTTTATCTGTACTGGCAGAGTTGCCTTGGTCCATATTCACTTTTTTACCTCAAAATGTTCATTATTTGCTCCATCCTACTCTTCTTATGCATTATATTATTTTTAGAGATGGGGGAATTCATAT